GAGCAGCTTTTCAACATCTTATGAATGATGTTTTTAAGAGTTTTTGGATAGTTTTGTTATTTGTTATCTACATGACATCTAGATCTATTCTAAGAACATAAAAAAATATAAACTTCATGTTCATTATGTGTTATAAAAATTAAGAGATATAAGACTCAATGCCAAGATAGAAAAGTGTGTATTCTACACTATTTGAGTTGACTTCTTATGTTACATCATTTCAAACGATAGACTTATCATGGATCCTAAGACAGTTCAAACTATTATAAATTGGAAGATTCTAAAAACGGTTTGAGATATCTAATATTTTTTAAGATTTGCCAACTACTATCAAATCTTCATTAAGGACTTCTCTCCAATTACAACTCTACTTACACATTTGACTTGTAAAGACAAACTTCAATGGAATCAAGAAGCAAAAGCAACATTTAAAGGTTTAAAAACAACCTTTGCTTCTGTACCAATCTTATATTGCATTGACTTCTCTTAGGCATTTTTTTTATAGAAATAGATACATAAGGCTTTATTTTGCATGTTGTATTATTACAAATAGAAATAAATGATAAATTTCACCAAATGGCTTTTCATTCTAGAAATTTTTTAGCAATCGAGATTAATTATGAGATCCACAACAAAGAGCTTCTTATCATTGTAGATTCTTTTGAAGAATGGCATCATTATCCAAAAGGTGCTTCTAGTCCAATCATCATATATATGGATCACAAGAACTTCAAGTATTTCATATCAGCTCGTATTTTGAATCATCGCTAAGCTCATTAGAACATGTCTTTGTCAAGATTTGAGTTTAATATCACTTATCGGCCAAAAAAATAAGAAAGTTTGTCTGAAACCCTTTTTAGATGTTTTTATCTTGTACTTAAAGAAAAAAATGCAGCTTTTGATTAATAAAAGATAATTTTATTGAAATTAGAACAATTTCATCTTTGAGTAGTGAAATCAACATTGACTATTGATTCAACTTTTTTCAAATAAATTCAATCAAATATGTCCTATGATCCTCTTCTTCATGATATCAAAAATACTTCTTCTAAGTCATGTGATACTTTTAAGTTTGAATTCAAAAACAACCTACTTTATTTTGAATGATGCCAATGTATGCCAGAAAGAGAAGTACGTTTATGTATTCTTCAAGCACATTATGATTTTTCAATTGTATGACATTTTGAATACAATAAGGCTTTGGAACTAATATCTAGAGATTTTTGGTGGCTGCAAATGTAGAAGGCTATAAAAAACTTTGTTTAATCATGTGATATTTTTTCAAGGTCAAAAACTCCTCGACATTGATCTTATGGACTTCTTCAACCATTACTTATTTCAAAACAACCATGGTCTTTTATTTCTATGGATTTTATTACAGAACTTCCAGTCTTAGAATCGTGTGATTCTATATTTGTGATAGTAGATCGTTTTATCAAAATAGCACATTTTATACCATAAATAAAATATCTATCATAAGTGAAGAAATTACCAAACTTTTCTTTCACAATATCTATCAATATCATGGATTGCCAAAAGATATTATATCAAATAAAAAAATTCAATTTATATCAAGGTTTTGGAGAATTCTTTTCAAGATTTTAAAGGTGGACATAAAGCTTTTTTTGGCCTTTCATCTTCAAATTGATGGACAGATAGAGTGCGTAAATCAAGTTTTAGAGTAATACTTAAAGTATACCATCAATTATCAACAAAATAATTGGAGAATCCTCTTGCCATTGCTAGAGTTTGCTTAAAATAATACAATACATTCTTCTATGTAAAAAATACCTTTCTTTGCCAATTATGGTTACCATCCACAATTTGATATTTTTGACTTTTTAAAAGTTGATAATCCTGTAGCAGAAGGTGTGGCAAATTGTTTATTAGAGCTACATGGAATAATAAAGGTGCAATTAAAAGAAGCTCAAAGATGACAAAAGATTAATACAGATGCCTATCGAAAGGAACAACCACAATTCAATGTAGATAACAAAGTATGGTTACTATGTCGTAATATCAAGATTATTCATCCTTATGATAAGTTGGACTACTATAAGCTTGGACCTTTTCTTATTTGTAGACAAATCAATCCAGTTGCTTATCGATTATATCAATCAGAGTCAATAAAGATCGATCATATTTTTCACATGTCTCTTCTTAAACCATACAAGTTTGTGAATATACCAAGAAGAAGGAAAGCTCTACGTCCTCTTATAAAAGTGGACAATAATAAAGAGTTCAAAGTGGAAGAAGATCTAGACTCAAGATGGCACCAAAGTAAATTAGAGTATCTTATCTATTAATGTGGATATAATACTAGTGAATCCACATGGGAGCCAATAAAAAATCTTGTAAATGGAAAAAAGGCAGTGGAGGCTTTTCAACGATGACATCCATCCAAACTAAGTTGAAGAATAATATATCTTTGCTATAAAAGAAACAAGATCTATGAAAGATTACATTCTACCTTCTATCTTTTTTTGTAGCTTTTGTGTATTTTTGATGCTAAGGAGATGGAGAACCAACAACTAGTTGTTTGAACTGAAGAGCTTTCATTTATGGACTTATAAGATGAAACATTGTTATTATTACAACCTTCAAGATGACGCAATTGAGATGAAGATTTTCAAAAACAACATGTTCTTTCTTGAATAAATGACAAGATATTATACGTTTGGTATCACAACCTTGGAAGGAGCTCCCAATGTTTGTTGATTTTATTAGAGGTAAGAACAACTCGTGATGGTGTTCTAAATATTTTATTTAAAAGAAGTTATGAAGGCTTCAATAATTATTAAATAACAAGGTGGGACATTATGAATGGCTGAGAGGGCCTATCAACTATCTTTAAAAAGAATAAAGATTGGAGTATGTGGCAAATAAAATTTGTTGCATCTTGAATTTTTTTAATATATGAAGACTGCTCCATACGAAACTTGTTACTAGAAGGAAGGATAATGTAACGGACATACATATGTAAATCAATAATTACTTATATTATTAGATAAAAGTAAGTAAAAATAATTTAATTTTATAATATATTCTATAGAAGCTTCATAGACATTGCTTTAACTTTATAGATGTCTATAATTGACTTTTTAGGTTAGAAACATGGTCAATAAGTTGGCCATGTGCCACACATGTTGGTAGCTTGAAGGATAAGCTAATTATATGGCTCATACATAGAAAACTTGCCTTGTAAGCTAAGGCATGTGTTTTGCAAAGTCAATACTTATTAGAGGTCCTATAGAACATTGCCACATAACTCTTAGTTAGATAGTATATATAGAGGCAAGAGTGAAGCCCTCTTCATACTTGTCAATTCCTTTCCTTCTTCTAGTCTAGATTTAAGAGTCTCTGATTTCTTTGTCTTTTGGCAATAATCATTCTAGTTTTCTTTTAATACACATATGTCTTTATTTCTATTTTGTCACTTTTTTTTTATACAAATTTTTTAGGTTTATACATTTTCTTTTAATTCATGTCCTTAATACTATTGTGGAACATTCTAAAAAAAATTTAAGATGATTATTTAGAGCCCACTATGGAATCTTCTAAAAAAAGAGTTTAAAGTGATTATCTACGTAGTAGGCTCTCTCTAGGAACATTCTAAAAAGTCCATAGTGGTAAGACAATGTATAAATGGGACTGACTAGGGCCTTTTGGGATATGTGGTCAAATATGGCTTTAGACCCTTTTTCTTAGTAAAATTTGGTTTTACATCTTTTTGTTCAGTTCTATTTTGCTCTATTTTTGTTTGCTCAATTTTATCTTTCATGTCATATTCCATTTAATTCTTTTTAGTTTTTTTTTGGTTTGTTTTGGCATGTTTTGTGATGAAGCTTTATATTATTGTAGATTAGAAGGATCTTGGTTTTTTGAAATAATTTGGTCTTGTTTCAATATGTGTCTTGCAAAGTTGACACGTTTTGGAGGTCATATAGAATATCACTATGTAATTCCTAGTTAAGAGTATATATGGAGGCAAAAGTGAAGCCTTTTTCATTCTTATTAATGCCTTTCTAGTCCTTAGTCTTATTTCAAGACTTTCTATTCTTCTTGTTTTTGGCAATAGTCATTTTAGTTCAATACTATATCATCTTTGAGTGATTTTTTAGTTCTTTTTAGTGACACAAGAGTGTATTGAGGATGTCTTTTTTTTTAAAGATTCATGTCCTTTAAAAATGTACACTTTTTTAGTATAGAAGAATTGGTAGATGTTGCAATTCTAAGTTGTTGCCTAGTGTGTCTTAGAAGAAACAATGATTGAATACATTTTTGTCAAGTTATAGATGTAATGATAAAATATACCTTAGAATAAGAAAAATATAGATGTTAAATTGTCTCGCAAATTTTTTGATAAGAATAATATAGTTTGTATATGGTTTTATTCAACTTGTGCCTCAATATGTACTTAAGTTAATTATAGCAAATGAAAACTTAATTTATTATGTTTCTTAATAACAAGTTATACTAAATAAATCTATTTTAGTCTAAGATGCAACTTTGGCTTTGTTTTAATATTAAGAAAGAAATTTTTTCATATATATCCCTCAAATATCTTAAAATATCAAGAATAACCTTGTATTTTTTATAATAGCAAATGTATCCCTTGTATATGATAGGATATTACCATGAGGGCAACATTTGCTACTATCTAGAATTCAAGGATATTCTTGATATTTTAGAATATTAGAGGGATATATATGATATTTTTCCTTTGTTTTTTTTTTGTTGTGTTTTGATTTTTTGATTTATTTGATGGTTTAGCAAAACTATTTTAGTTTTTTATATTTCTCATAATACATTTTTTTCTTCTTTTTTTCCATATTTTAAAATGATTACACATACACACATATGTTGAAGTACGGAATTGTGTCGTTGAATCCATCCATGCTTATTTATTTATTTCTGTCTTTCTTTCTTAGGATAAACAAATTTTCTGAAGCGAGATTGAGATGATGCAGAGTCTGACGAGCACAGATTTCGTTGAAAGAATGCGTCTAACTATTTCGTTTGCCTTGGAAAGTCTTGTGGGGGCTCGCGGGGATTGAAGGTTTGGTGGTACCAGGAAGGGGAAAAACCCAAAAACCTGGTCGTCGTCGTCGTCCAGCACCGTAGGGAGGAGGAGGACGACGAGGACGAGGAGGACGAGCAGGAGGGCCGAGAGAGAGGGAGGGAGAGAGAGAGAGATTTCACTCATCTCCAGGTGCATCGGTGGAGAAGCAGCAGCAGCAGGGAGGAGAAGGAGGAGGCCGAGGAGAAGTGGAACAAGCGAGAGAAGGGGGACATGGAAAGCGATGAAGGCCATGATCGGCTCCTCTTTGCTATTGCCAAGGCTTGGAAGGGCCTGCAGGGAGAGCTGCTGGTCCAGGGGGATGGGGATGCCCCCCCTGCAGCAGCACCAGCCTTGACCCTGCGTTCCTTCTCCCACGGTTGCTCCCTCATCTCGCCTCTCTTTGGCTGCCTCGGGATCGCTTTCAAGTTTGCTGAGAAGGACTACGTTGCCAAAGTGGGTTTTTCGCTTTTTCTGAGTTCATCATCTTTTGCAGCCCATTGCTTCACAATTTGCTTGCGTATTTCTCTTAATGGTTTTTAACGTCGGTTAAGGAAAAATTTCTTCAGGTTCTTGGTTTTGAGACATCGAAAGATGAACTTATTGCATTTTGAACTTATAACGAACGTTGAATGGTCTACAGGTGCATGATTTATGTGAAGCAGCTAAAGAGTATGACACATTATCTGTCATGGTTGACCAAGACATTAAGAATCAGACTGTACGCAATGGTGGGAGCCATACACGAAACCTGCTTCGTGTACTGCGTGGAGTGGACATGGTTAGGGTACTGTTTGAGCACATTCTTGTCACCGAGTAAGCCTCCTCGCTACCATTACACATTCAGCTGGAGAATGTAGGGTTTCCGCAAGTGTGTTGGGTGTGTCGTGGATTACTCGCGTTGAGTTTTATCGCGACATCTCAGTAGTTATTAGCTCATTATCGAGTTGTCAGAACTTTTGCATCATGTCCATTTCAAGAACTTTTGCATCATGTCAGGATTGGTGTCTAACGTACGTTGCGTACAATCCTTTTGACCAAAGGCTGGAATCAGAATTTGAGCAGAGAACTGATTCGTAATTTAGCTGGTTTTACAGAGGGAATTCTTTGAAGGAGCCAGCATCGAAAGCCTATGAGCAAGTGTTTGCTCCGCATCATTCGTGGACTATCCGCAAGGTTGTTAGTGCAGGAATGTTAATGCTACCCACGAAGATCCAGTTCCTGAAAAAGCTTAATGAAGAAGGTAATATTCATTAGTCGTATTGTGCTTTTTTGATGCATCTATTTCCTTCTTCCTCGGTCATCAAGTGATTTACGGTCAGGGTTGTCTAGGAGTGCTGTGATTTCTGATTTTTCAGTCATTGTCGATATCTTTGTGTAATGACCGTTTTAGTTTGAGATTAATCACTTAAATTTTCATACTCTTGTGCAATTGTTTTAGTAAGCTGATTGTCTCTTTGGCGCCCAACTGAGAGTTGCAATCTATAATAGCTACTGTTGCTGTTTATTTTGAAACTTTGCACAATGTGAGCACGTACATTACCTGCAAGCAACTTAGCATGTCTTTTGTATGTTTGTGCCGACAGAGGACTCAGCCAAGGGGCATATTGAAGAATTTGTGAAATCGGCTGGCCCAGTCGTTCAGTATGTTAATAATATTTACTTAAACAAGGAACTTGGCACAGACTGGTAGCCAAATGATATTCCCAGTGGAACTGTGGTGGGATAGCGACACTGAACTCACTTTCGCCTGCCCTCAAGTTTTCGCTTTGGTGTTCCAAGATATTCCTCATCAAGCTGTGAACATTAACAGTACGGAAGTGGCTACATTCCAAGTAGACAGGACGCAAAGCTGAAGTAGTTGGAACACTGCCAGGATGCTTTTAACAATCACAGTTGTCTCTTGTATTTGACAACGCGGCCCTGTGTATGATGGATTGGGTCTCAACTAAATGATTTAGCCCTGAAAGCACCAGTATTGAAATTCTAAAACCCACTGAATAGCTGGCATTGAGCTAAAACTCGAGAGGCTTGTAAAGTCAATCGGCGCAACTTATCTCTTCTATGTTGGATTTGATATTTTATACTTCTGAAAGCGTGTTCTAGTCATCGCGATGTTTGAGAATAGTCCTAATGTAAATATAATGGAGTAGGACTTGAAATGTATGAGTTCTGTTACACCAAATTGAAGCATAGAAGGTTTAAGGGAACATAGGGCAGAGTAGCTTGCCTCAGTTCCATTAACGTCCACTTTGTGAACCTAGGTGGTATGTTTATAGCTACAACTCCATTTGTTTATTACATATGCTTAAAGCCACAAAACGGACGCCTTGCAGTATTCCTGGCTGCGATCCTCATTCAATTATCAAAGCTCAAAAAAGAGATAAGCTGTGTGTGATCCATAGTGAAACGGAATGGCTACATGGGTTCACATCCAGATGAGGTCGATAAGAGGAAATTGTTTGTTCTACATTGCACAAGCAGAGCACGCTGCAGTAACCCTGCGGCGTTTGATCAAATATCTGGGGTCATACCACTCAAATTAGACGAGAGATCCCCCGTGCCAAACACCTTCACACAAGAAAGGCAAGGTGCAGCGAGGATAGCCAGACAGCCAGCAGCCAACCTCCAGACCTCCAGGTTCGGCAGGTCCGAGCCCTGGGAATTTTAGGTCTGGGAATGGCATGGAAGCAGGTCCTTCATGACTCCGGTTCCAGCACCGAGACCTCCCTTTTTCATTGCTCAGGCCTGTTGCCAACGATCTAGCTTTGGTCTCCTGTCAACCTTCACGATGGTACAGCATTCTACTGTGTTTTGAAAGCTTCTGTTGTTCAAGCAATCCTTCTCTCACTTCTCGTTAAGTTGCTTCGGGTGGTGGTAAACTAGGGAGACATCTATACTTAGAAAACCTTTTGGCGCAGCAATCTTGTTAAGGAAATTTTGGAGTTAGGGTTTCCTATGACGGTTTCACCCTGTGAAGTTGGTGTCTTGTATCATTTCTGATAGTTATTTTTTTGATTGTTCTGTTTCTGGCTGGGCTCAGGCTCCCAAGAGGGGAACCCTCAAGGCTCCAGTTGCAGCTCCCGTGCAGAAGAAGCAGGTGGGTGATCGAACGGGTTTCTAGATGGTGTTTTCAGTTTTGGACTTGAAGCTTCTGGTGCAACATTTTAAACGATTTATTTATTTATTTATTTATACTCCATTTGGGTTCTAGTGTGGTAGTTGTGTGGTGCTTCTTACATGGTCCGTGGCGATGTGAGTAGGCTCCGGTGAAGACCGTGAACCCTCTGTTTGAGAAGAGGCCGAAGCAGTTCGGCATCGGAGGAGCTCTTCCGCCCAAGAGAGACCTTCACAGGTTTGTGAAATGGCCCAAGTACGTGCGTATCCAGCGCCAGCGACGCGTCTTGAACCAGCGTTTGAAGGTGCCTCCTGCTCTGAATCAGTTCACGAAGACACTCGACAAGAACCTCGGTAAGTGGGTCTTTTCTTGAATCGGCGATGTGGGCCGGAGTGTGAAGATGAGAGGACACGAACCGGGAATGGAATATATCTTTGCAACGCGTTAGATTGCGATTGAGGTAATAGTGGAATTTCATGTCCAGCCACGAGTTTGTTCAAGTTGCTGTTGAAGTACCGACCTGAGGACAAGGCTGCGAAGAAGGAGCGTCTGTTGAACAAGGCCAAGGCTGAGGCTGAGGGCAAGACTTTGGAGTCTAAGAAGCCCGTGGTTGCGAAATACGGAATCAACCACATCACTTACCTGATCGAGCAGGTATTATTGCGTGTATAGTTGTCGTATTTACTCGTTAGAATTTTCATATTGAAGCCCTTTCGGAGAAAGAATAGTTCGTTCTTGTATGTGTGGGAGATAATGCTCATGGTGAAATATGGGGCCTTTATGTTTCAGAACAAGGCTCAACTTGTGGTTATTGCCCACGACGTCGATCCAATTGAGTTGGTTGTGTGGCTGCCCGCGCTCTGCCGCAAGATGGGAGTGCCTTACGCTATTGTCAAGGGAAAATCGCGTTTGGGACAGGTAAACTGTTCCACTTGCTTTATGAGGTTACTAATGCGTGTTACTGGATGTAAGATGATGATGCTGACTCAAGATCATCATGACATTCAATTACCCCTAGACTGGGTCGCCATGTCGTGCGATTTTGAGTAATTGTACTCGTTGTGCAGATTGTGCATGCTAAGACTGCCACAGCCCTGTGTTTGACTTCGGTGAAGAACGAGGACAAGCATGAGTTCTCCAAGATCATCGAGTCTGTCAAGGTATAGTTCCGTGTTCATTGAAATGCCAATCAACAATTGGCGATGTCACTTAAGTCAAAGACGCCAGAGAAGGCCCGGTTATGTCGGAAGTGAGTCTGTTTCTAATGTCTGGTTTGCATGGTATGCAGGCCAACTTCAACGAGAAATACGACGAGTACAGGAGGCATTGGGGTGGAGGTATCATGGGTGTTAAGTCACAAGCTAAGTCGAAGATCAGGGAGCGTATTCTTGCCAAGGAGGCTGCGCAGAGAGCTGCTTAGGCCTTGCAGGATTCTCTGTTTATCTGCTAACGTTGAGCTTGAGGCTTTCGCCATGAGGACATTCTCATTGTATTAAGTGGAATATGAAGTTACCATCTATTCTAGCCTCTTGAACGAATGCCGTCTTTTGTGGATTTTTTTACTTGGTGTGCTCTGTGTGCAGTCCATTTTACTGATCTAGTTGAGCCCGTTATTCAATGACTCCACATTTTCCAGCGATATGCAAGAGTTTCAAGGTAGTCTCTCCTTGGATGCGGTACTAGTCATCAACCAAGATTTACGTTACGCTAAGACCCAATAATATGACAGACCAGACATTCGAATCAAATTCACTTCAGTCTAATAGTTCTTACCTGGCCATAGTACTATGTAACATATTTTTTATTGCTTTCGTAACCCATTTTATGACAACTAAAATATAAATTTAAATTCATTAAATATTTTTTTTTGAAAAGGACACATTCTAAATCCAGCTTTTTGTTGAAAGAAACGACAAATGCATGTTTTTCATTAAGGCAAAAAAAGATATTTAAAATATCAAATAAAATATATAATTTTTAAATAGTTGTGAATTATGTTTTTCATATCTCTAGTTTGTATATTAGCAGTGTTTATTGAAGTTTTTGTAGCAGAATTTTGATTTATTTTTAAAAATATACATAATCAAAATTAGTAGACTTCTAATAAGTCAATTGTAATTTCAAATTTCAAATATATTATTATTTAGTCTATGAACAGTAGTGTTGCAAAATATCCAAATAACAACTCATTAGAATTTTGTAATGCCTAAATAGTAGGTCAGTAATAGACAATCACTTGCTTGATTGATTGGATGAATGTGTCAATAGATTTGAATATTGGCTCCAGTCTACTGCTATAACAAAGATAAAAACTCCTTATGCAAAGAGTACAAGAAATTTGGCATATTACAGTAGTACCTTGAATAAGTTAAATTATTTCTTTGTGATAGAACAACCTTTAAATATAAGTGACTTTGCAATATTAAAATTGATACATTTTAGAAAAAGACAACTTTCTTCGTAATTATTAAAGAAAACATCCACAGAAAAGAACATGATTTAATTTTGTAGTCACCAAAACAATTTTTTTATAAATTTTTAGTAATAAAAGATTAATAATGTACCATTATTGTATTTAAATTTTAGCCTTATTATAATTTTAGCACAATTTTAGCACTATCTTTTCCATAGCATCGGATGCCTTACTGTAGATTATTTTTGGAGAATTTACATGAAGGGGCACATCTATAGAAATAATTACAAATAGAAGCACAAATAAAAAATAATTACAAAGAGAGGTGCACCTACAAAAACAAATAAATATAAGAGCATAAATCATTTTTTTTTTTTTTTTTTTTTTTTTTCTTAAAGAGGCCCAATTCTCTTCTTCATTAAATACATTTTTCCTCCTTGATTTTCCTTGCTCTTCTTTGCATGGTCCAGTAAGCCAAAGATCACCAATAATAAGACAAAGAAATTGGACAATGACAACCCAAGTCAAATTGATTGTTTTAATAATGTTCTCTATGGCCAATGATGGTGCTATGGCTTATGGTGCTATTGCAAGCTATTCTATCCAATTCTTTTTTCTTTATTAATTCAAAGCCAACAAACTTGTATATATTAGGATTGTTTGTCCAAAAGAAGAAAAAAAATCAGAAGACAAGAATGCAAATAGCATATACTTGTTCCTTGTTGCAATGAATTAATGTAAAGAGAGCTCAAATAAATAATTTATCAAATCTTTTATTATAAAAATATCAATTTTTGAAAAGTCAAAAGTTCCAAGTCATGAATAATAACCATAATTTGTAAAAAAAGATATTTGTTGAATAAAAGAATGTATTATATTATTATATGCAGATTTTGCCAATGACAAAAGAGTTGTTCAATCAAATTATTGATAATTGATGGTACACCTTAAATACTGCTCCAAAACTTGGTTTACGTACTTTGTCTATCCATCAATTTGAGGATGAAAGGCTGAAAATAGCTTTATGTCCACCTTTAGAATCTTGAAAAGTATTTCAAATAATCTTGATACAAATTGAATCCTCCTATCTAATATAATACCCTTAGACAATCTATGACAACAATAGATATTATCAAGAAAAAATTTAGATGTTTCTTTATCTACGATAGATTTTGGACATAGTACAAAATGAGCCATTTTAGTAAAATGATCTATTATCACAATTATAGAATTATATGAATTTGAGACTAAAAGATTCATGATAAAATCCATAAAAATAGAAGATTATGGTTGTTTTAAAATAAGTAATGGCTAAAGAAGTCCATAAGGTTGGTAATAAGAAATTTTTGATCTTAAACAAATGTCACATGATTGTATAAAGTCTTTAATTGCCTTTTATATTTGAGACCATCAAAAATTTCTATATATTAGCTTGAATGTCTTATAATATTCAAAATATTTGGTTGTTGAAAAGTTGTGATAAGCTTGAAGAATATGTTATTATGCTTTATCTTTTGGAATGTAAAATTGTTCCATGAAATAGAATAGATTATTTTTGAACTTGATCTTAGAAGTATCATGAGACTTAAAAGAATTATTTTCAATATCATAAACAAGAGGATCAAAGAACATATTTAATTATATTTACTTGAAAAAGATTAAATCAATAGTCAATATTGATTTTATTATTTAAAGATGAAAATGCTCCAGCTTCAAGAAAATTATTTTTTGTTGATTAAAAGTTACATCATCTTTTTGGATGTAAGATATGAATATCTAAAAAGAATGCTTAATAAATCTTATTATTTTTTGGATTGATATGTAATCTTAAAATTAAATCTTGATAAAGACATGCCCTAACAAGCTTGGTGATAATTCAAAACTCATGCTGATATGAAGTAGTTGAGGTTCATATGATCCTTATATATGGTGATTGGATAAGAAGCACCTCCCAGATAATAATACTACTTTTGAAATGAATCCACAATTGTAAAAAGCTCTTTGTTGTCGATCTCATAATTAATCTCAATTGCTAAAAATTTCTTGGAATAAAAAGCTACTAGGTAGAGCTTGTCATTTACTTCTATTTGTGACAAAATAATACCGATAACAAAGTTTGATGCGTATGTTTCTATAAAGAACATCTTGAAGAAGTCAAAATAATATAAGATTGGTGTAAAAATCAATTCATTTTTTAAAGCATCAAATAATGCTTTGACTTCTTTATTCTACTCAAGTTTGTCTTTATAACTCAAATATATAAATAAAGTTACAACTTGAGAAAAATTCTTAATAAAGATCCAATAGTAAATAAAAAAGTTCAAAAAATATTGTACATCTCTTATTATTATTATTCTTCCAATCCATGATAGGCAAGAGCTTCTTGAAATCCATCATGAGGCTTGTAGAATAGGTAAATAAATTTTGTGGTAAGTTACTGGTTGGTTATTGACAACCTTGAGAATTAGACTTATAGTTAGGCAGTTTAGTTAGTAATAGTAGAATGTTAGTGGAACAAATGATTAAGAATTCAAAGTGTCATAACCTTTGGAATCCGTTGGCCGACGGATCATCTTTTTGGTAGGATAAATAGGTTGAAGAAAGAGAGATCTAGTGCGAGATAGTGAGAGTCGTAAGTCAAGAGCCAAACTATGAGAGTTGTAAGTCGAGAGCCAGACTGTGAGAGTCGTAAGTCGAGAGCCAAACTACGAGAGTTGTAAGCCGAGAGCCAGACTGTGAGAGTCGTAAGTCGGGGTAAGCTTGGTGCTACCTCTTTGTTTTCTTTGCTTTTAATATTTGCTTATGAAGAATTGTGATTGAGAGAAGTATTGTTGAATTCATAATAGTAGAATGGATTACAGATTGAATCAAGATGGAGGTAGTAAGCCTTGGTGTTTTGTAGTTTGATAATTGATTTCAGATAGGCAGAGTACAGTCAAATGTGACACTAAAAGACCCAATTCATACAACCAGTCTTTTCTTGTATTCAAACCTACCTCTATTAGTTCAATTGCTTTAGTATACTGAAGCTTGAACATAATAAGAAGAATATTTTGGGGCTGCTACCATGGAAATGATAACAATATGAAATATTAGAAATTGATTGTATGGAAGATGGAATTATATGTTGAATGAGAACTTGAAAAGAACCAGTTTTAAGATTAAAAATATAAGAATTATAATTCAAGGCAGTATTGATTTTGGAAAGAAGAATGAAAGATTATAAGTGATAATCATAAAGGAGAGGATTATCAAAGAATTAATTGACATGCAAAAGAAAGACAGGAGCAATTACGCATAAAAAATCTCCTACAGGAACGAAAAAAATGAATTGTAGGTCCAAAAAAAACCAAAGGAAGAAAAATTCAAATTCAAATAGCAAAGAGACCAGTGATAATACCAATGGCCACAAGAGTGCCAGAAGTACCAATTGCATTACGAATAGGAGCAGTAGGAGACCGAACTACAAGTGTGGCAACATTACTTACTTTTAGTGGTTGGTTGGGCTTTGATCTCGATCACCATATATCTCAATTTTTGATTACTTATGTGGCAAATAATAGTAGAACTAAAGATATTTGGTTGAGATGGTTGTCAGCAACTTTAAAAGATACAGCTTTTAAATGGTATAATTAGCAACCAGTGGGTAGATTCTTCAATTGAGAAGCCTTGAGGAACACCTTCCTAATCCATTTTAGACCAATTGGATTTGAAGATCGGCTTCGAGAAAGTTTTATAAATACTAGAATGTTTGCAAAAAAAATTGTAGAGTCTTATTATGGCCGGATCACGGATATACTTCGTAAATGGTCAAATAATCAAATGCCAGATGCGTTTATATTGTCCATATTAATTAACGGTTTGCATCTACCAGAATTAAAAATGTTTGTAAAAGAGACTCGATCAGCTACGATAGAGGCATCATTAGCACGAGCAAAGGTGTGAAAAGAATGTCATTATGACCAATTGTTAACAATGGGGGGCCACAATGATTCCAAGTTCAGGAAGCCAACAAATACAACCAAAAAATGTGTCGATGGGTAATTATCCACAAATGGCTAACTCCAACATGAAGAATATTATGTTGCAAAAATCAATTAATGCTACACCACTCAAGGCAATAGG